ATATATATATTCTCATCGAAGTGTTACATGAAGCAAAATTTATTAGAAACGTTAATTGCTCATTGATTTTATTTATTAAAAAAAAAAAGAAAAAAAAGCAAAAATTATTGAAATTATTATTTTTTCTTTTTTCCATATATTTGCGAGCACGCATCTATCTATCTGCGGTTCGATTATGATTGGTCGATGTTCGATTTCGAACTGAACCGTTATCAACGACAAGTAACGTAAATCAAAATTAACCTGCGAGCTATAATTGTCAAAAATAATAATAATATTATTTTCTAAGCTCGATATATTATAAACACATATTTCGATTTTAATAATAATTATTCGTTCGCACGACGATGACTGGGTAACCAGTCGCCATATTACTTTACCGTTCCCCGTTTTTGGTCCTTGTCCCCGTGGAGAAGCACATAAATAATTAAAAAGAAAAAGAAGAAAAAAAAAAACAGAAAAGGCACGATTCTCGCGTGATTCTCAGACTCCTCGCGGACTGCTGATTTTTCTCGTCAATAATAATAATAATAATAAAATAATAATAAAATAATAATAATAATAATAATTACAATAAGGAGCGATCGGTTCCAGCTCTCCTCCATATTGTTCATCCTAACCTCATTTACATCCCGTAATTGATTAATTAACCCGCGAAAAGGTGCACATTATTATATTTTGTAAGATCATATTTTAATCCATGATCCCAAACGAAGAATATTATTTCACAGCCATCCGCGGATCTCGGGAATTATTATTATTAAAAATTGTGGAAAAATCACGAGATCATCACCTGTTTGGATTCTCTCTCTCTTTCTCTCTCTCTTTCTCTCTCTTTCTCTCTTTCTCTCTCATTCTTTCACTTTCTCACTATCTCTCTCTCTCTCTCTCTCTCTCTCTCTTTCTCTCTCTCTCTCTTTCTCTCTCTTTCTCTTTTTCATTCTAATTTTTGTTCTGATCATGATGGTCATGATCTGGTAGCATAAGCAACCCAGACGCGGACATACCTATGTATATAGATGAAAAGGGAGTATTATATCGTGTAAACGATATTTTACGGAGGAAAGATTCGCGGTTATTGAACGATGCAACAGCAGGGGTTGCTAGCAAGAGTCCTCGTGGCAACGCGTTGCTGGGAACGTTGTTGCTGTTGCTGTTGTTGTTGTTGTTGTTGCTGCTGTTGATGGCCCTGTCTCTGTCTTTGCCAACCGTTGATCACCCTGCCACACCTGGGCTATTGGTTCTCCAACGAATAATGTCGTGATCTTTTCCAGAAACCCTTGAAAAAGCCCTTCTTCTTTGGCGCCTCGCCACTCTCAGCGGCTGGAACACGAATAGAAATAACTTCTCATCGTATCAAACTGCTGATGTTCATTTTAATCTATAAGAATATAATTATTAACGAATTTTATATTTCAACACACCGCGTTATGTATTAATAATAATTTTTTTTATTTTTTTTATTGTTACTTTTTTTTTTCTTTATCGAATTGCACGGTTCTATTGTCAAATGTTTATCTTTTTGTTTTTTTTTCTTTTCATTTAATAATCGAGCCATTATTGCCCCCACCAGTTAAATAAACGTCGAATGTGTTTTATTTGAAATTTCTTCTATTTGTTTTATAACACATACCATATAGGATTGTCCGTAAAAATGAAAAAGAATTTTATTTCCGAAAGAGAGAGAGAGAGAGAGAGAAAAAGAGAGAGAGAACATTCAAATAATTTTATCTATTATTTTAATGAACCAAATTAGTCATTATGATTCTATATTAATCATTTAAATTGAAGAAAAATCGAAATGGTATGATAGTTTGACGACATTATGCGACATGATAGTAGACATACATACGTAGACCAACTACTTGCTACAAAACGGTCCTATTTTTTTTTTCTTTTTTCTTTTTTTAATGTAGGTATTATTTCAACCACGTTTTCGCGCGTGCTATATGTTAAACAGGAGTCTTGACGATAGGTCGTCGTCTCTTGCATTATAATTACCAGTCTTTCCGGTAGCTTTCGAATTAGGAACTACGACGTAGTCATCATCCTTCCGATATAAAAACGTTTAAACATTAATTTTTAGTATTTTCTTTTTTTCTTTTATCTGTTTCAGTAATAACCTTAACGTGTCTCTAACAAATCAATTATTGATTATTAAAATTATTATTTGATTATTAAAATTTGTTGAAATATAAATGATCCTTTCATATTTGATCAAACTCGGGAAAGAGAAACGTTCTTTTTAATATATATAGAAAAAAAAAAAATACACAAATACACAATTATAGTTAAAGATATATACTGTTATTCTGTTACCGTAAAGTTAGAATAGATAGTTAGATTTGAACCTAGCTTTATGATGCTCTAGGTTTTTGTTAACAGTTTAAATATAACGGATATACGATAATTTTGTATTCTATAATCGCGGGGGGGGGGCATATATATAATAAATATATTTAATATACATATATATATATCGGACAAAAAATAAAAATATAATAATAAAATATAATATAAAAATAAATTGTCGGAGATAGAGAGAGATAAATCGGTTAATTTATTGGAAATAAAATCTAGAACAAAATGAAGAAAGAGAGGAATAATGGAGTAACTAAAACAGGATGCTGCGCGAGAGGATCGGACACACCCAAGAGTCTGCGTCTCCTCTGGTACGCGTGCTATAGGTGCCACTATCGGTATTGATCCATACGCACACTGTGCCCTCCTCCTCACCTCCTCCACATTCCCTCGTCCTCCCGTTCATTGGCCTCTCTCTTTCTTTCTCTTTCTCTCTCTCCCTTTCTACTTGCTATCTCTCTATTCCTCCACATTTATGTTTCCTCCTGACGTGTCTTCTCCCCCCCCCCCCCCGTTTACACACTGAACAGCAGACTTGATGCATCGAATATGTCTCTTTCGTCCTTGATGCAACTGACGACGCCAAGAACAATGTTCAAGAGAGGATCATCATTATCACCCCATTTTCTCAGGAATACTCGGATCTAAATGGAATCTTCCCACCCTTTTTTCTTTTTTCTTTTCTTTTCTTTGTTCATTTATACACACGCACGTAAGAAAGATAGATTAATTAATTTCGTTTTCCACATATTCGGATAGATTAAAATATTTAATTATTATTCTATATATATATATATATATATGTATGTATATTAGAATTAGTACAGGTTGAGACAGAAAAATTTTGGGGCTGATTTGTAGAAGAATAATTTCTATTTCTTTTTTTTCCCCTTAATAATCGTATGTTTATTTATTTGTAAAAGAAAATAATATTATATATAAATGATATGTAACTTTTTTATATATTAAATTATAATTTCTTTCTTTTTTTTTTCTTTTCTTCCAAAATAATATATTATTTGTTTTATATACATTTTTTTATATGAAATATTTATTTAATCAATTTAATAAATCGATACTAATTTTCCATGCAATCGGATATGTTAGATATATCGAATTGTTTATACAAATTTTAGGATAATTATGATTATATTTGAAATGTCAATCAGTATAAATTTTAAGGAGAATATATTTATTTCCGTTTTTGGTGCATCTTCGCGCAAGTTACGGCATTTTTCTTCTTTATACAGGAAGTTATAAAATATACACACAATGTAAATATGTAAAATGAGAATGTAAGATTTATATCGAATGAAATCTTAAAAATCTTGAATAGAATAATAGACCACTTAAAAAAACACGTAATGCGATTTAGCGTTACCGAAAATCTGGTAATGAGTTCTTTTTTACATGACCGTTGGCATAAGATCAAACTATGCCGACTATTATTAACCTTGTACGCGTAATAATTTTCCGACCATCCGATAGGATTTATATCTCGGTCTAATTAGGAGTCTTGTAACCTAAAACCTCCTATATTCGTTAGATATTTTATTAATAAATTTGAATTACGAATCAATCTGCAAAAAAAAAAGAAACAAATTCTTTTTATTCGAATATCTCTCTCAATAAAATATTTCTTTGTGATATCCGAAAATAATAAGGGCGTATGATTGATTTTTTTATTGTTAGAAAATACTTACGATAATTTGTTATTTTAATTTTTGTAATATCAGAGGAGGGATATTGTTTTTGCATGTGTGAAAGAAGAAAGTACTCAAGAATGTATTTATATATACTACTATATATATATATATATATATAGTAATACTTTAGAGTATAAAGATATTTTTGTGGTCGCACGAGTTATCGAGTTCGCGTATCGTGTTACGTCTGTTATCAACACAGAACAGATAAGATAAAACTTCGATACAAGTATTTTCTTTTTCTTATCTGTCTCTGTGCAAAATAGGCAGAAACTGTTGAATAATTTAAAAACGAAAAAAAAACAAAAGATAAACAATAAATGGATACAAAAATTTTTGTTTTCTGCAACACGCCTTAAATCATGAATTTATTCGTCAAATTTTGATGAGAGAGAGAGAGAGAAAGAGAGAGAGAAAGCAAATGAAATTGAAATCGAAAGTGAGAAATATTCGCGCGTCAGAATTTTTAAATAATTCATTTAAAAATAAATAAAAGAAAGAATATACGTATATATATGAAATGTTCGTATATTTATTCCCCATAATTGTGATTATTTGATGAGTGAGAATAAAAAAGAAAAGAAAAAAAGGAACAAAAATTGAAAATGCTACAATAATCCACAAATTATATATTAGAGGGTCAAGAAATTCGTAGTCCGATTGGTAAGCAACGAACGAATTTTCCGAAAATAAACAAGCCGTATTAATAGCCGATGTATTCTCCACTCTCATACCGCGAGGACGAACTTGGAGGAAGAAACGGAGAGGATGATATTTTGGAACACGCGCGCCATTGCTATTGCTGCTGTTATGGCGGCTGCTGCTGCTTCTTCATCTTCTTCTTTTGCTAGAGTTTACGTTTCTTAGTAACTTTAACGTAGTTGCGACGATTTTATATTCTTACCACGATTATTTTTTAAAATTCCATTCCATGAGAATACGTTTTCTCGAAGATGCATTTTCTAATTTTGTGTTTTTCTTACATTTCATATTCAAGGTCAATCTAGGCGCCATATTTCGAGATGAGAATATTATAATATATTCAAATTAAATCGAAATTATTCGTTAAAAAAGGAAGAAAAAGGGGGGATAAATCAATTTTTAAACGATTATTTATCGTACGTGTCAAGAATTTTGTTGAACAATTCGTTTCTTTGAAAGGGTCAACATAACCTATACGAATAGCGTAGGAGTGTTGTCCTCAGTCTCTCTCTCTCTCTTTCTTTCTTCTTATCTTTATCTTTTTCTTTTTCTTTTGCTTTCTCTTCTCTCTTTCTTCTCTCTGTTTCTCTGTACTCTGTACTCTTGAAGCCGAAGAACGAGTTCTTCCTTCGTGACGATCCAGTTTATTTCCGTCCGTGGATCGTTGTGGCTAATATTTCGGGGACTTCTTATTGCCAAGTCGAAGTAAAGTCTGGTCGTGGTGGTTTAAAAATAACCGCGGTGGAGGTGCGTGTCCCGCCCCCTCCCCAAACCATCCCAGCCCCCTCCTCCCCCACGTCGTCAAAACGAAATCTCTTTTCTCTTTTTTCTTCTTACATTATTTTCTTACTTTTATCTTTTTTTTTTTTTTCGTTTAATTTGTTCTCCATTCTTCTCGCAGCACACATTATTATTCATCGTAAACTATAATAATACTTGTAATATACCGCCGCGTTGGCAACAAAGTTTCAAAACCACCAGAATGGGGAGAGGGGGGTGGGTGTATATTTCACTTATGTTTTCTAGTTTACTTTTTCGACGGTTATTATTGGTCGATAAAAAGATTTAAAAAAAAACAAAAATAGAGAGAAAAAAAAAATAGATAATACGATAAACGTTAACATTCCATGGTAACAAAGTTTATATTTATAAAACGAGATTGGAGAGTTATTTGATTACCTTTTATATTTTACTTTATTTTTTCATTATGGTTAATCCAATAAAAAAAAGAAGTGTGCAAAATAGATAGATAAATAAATAAATATATAATTACGTCGATGAGCTTTTCAATTAAAAACAAACTTACCGGCATAAGGACCAGAAGGTAAAGCGTTGTCCTTACTACTTTTCCCATCTTTACTGCCACTCCCTGAAACAATACAAAAAAAAAACCAATTTCATAGACATTGAATGAAAATATTAATAGAGATGAGATTGATATTAAAACACGTATAATACTAACACGTTTATGTATAGGGAATAATACTATAATAATACTACGATACGGAGAATAATAATACATAGTAATAATAAATAACAACAAATACACAGAATTTGTCTCGTAAAATAATAATACTAATAATAATAATAATATAATAGATTTTTAATTTCGAAAATCATATTACGTACCAAAAAATCGCGGGATCGAGTTGAAATCGGTCGGCGTCTAATCTCAAAAAAGATTAGGAGGGGTGGAGAGCGAGGAGGAGGGGGTTCAGGTAAAGGGGGGGGAGGTGGCAACGGGAAGAAAGAAAAGCAGACGGTTCATTCGTCATCCTGCTAATTTCGTTAACAAAGTAAGTGGCGCTTGTGGCCAGCCACGTTGACAATTCCAAAACAAAAATTTCATTGTAACGAAACGCGATGAATTTCGATTGTAAAGAGGTTCTTCGAAGAGAGCTTCACACGCACACGAATTCGTTATACATTATTTATCGTATATATATAGTTCATGCTTCACATACCAAACGAGTTACGAGTTCACAGACACTTTCTCTTTTTAAATATATTTTATATTATTTTTTTTTCTTTTTCTTTTCTCGATTAGCAATAAAGATTATCCATTTTAATAATATCTCGGAGAGTAATAATAGCGTTTGTTTATCGAAGAGAAATTTTGATATTAAAAATATTTTCTATCAACGTGAATTCGTCCATTAACGACAACCTAAAATATATTTATTGTTAAATATAGATATGCATATTACTAATATATTAAAAATATTTTGTTGTAACGTGAATTATATTGATAGGGCAACCCAACATATATTTATATATATAGATATAGATATGTATTGCTGATATATTAAAAATATTTTCTTTTAACGTGAATTCAGGGCACCCAATATATTTATTGGTATATATATATGTATTGCTAGCATACTATGGTTGGGAAAACTGTAAGAGTAGAAACTGGAAGATGGTGGGAGAGAGTACTTCAAGGAAATAGAGGGCACGGAGGCAAACTGGTCCGTACAGAGGACAACCGTTTGCAGAAATGCTGGGCAAGTCGCGCGAAAGAGTGACCTTTCCAACTTCTTCGACCACTATACCTTGATAGTCGTCCAACTCGTTCAATTCATCCTCGTTATCTATCTCGTGTATATATATATATATAAAATAACTGTAATACATATATTACATATGTACTAGTATCAACCTAGATTCTTTTTATCGTGTCAAGATTAATTTGTACATTTAAGTGACCAGATCGCTTATCAAGATTAGTTTTAACATGAACAAAAATATGCGAGTGGAAAGCGTTTAATTAGATTCATTTGGAATTCGTTTAATAATAATATCTTTATACAATGAGCTTTCGTATTTTCTTAATTCAAGGCCAATGCAACGTTATTAACCGTGAACAATGGTCTAATTCAAGGATACAGAACTATTCTCGAATACATCCGTTAACAACAATAAATAATAGTTCAATCGAAAGAATTGATATCCGAAAACGAGTTTGTTAGTCTCGACAATAGAGTTTCAATAGAAAAAAAAAGGTGTCAACTTTCTAACAAAAAGGATTGAAAGTTTATTGACCTGTCCAAACGTTTAAACAAAAACTCTATTTATTTTTCCAATGTGTTCACGAGACAACTCGATCGGATAAAAATCCCGAGAGTTCGTAGTTGGATGTTCGAAGAATGAAAAAGCCGTGGTGTAAGAAGATTTGCGCAGGCGTCGGGGGTTTCTTTCATAAACGGGACTTGAATGAAAGCTCCAACCGATGTCAGCAGCATTATCGAAGTTTCTCGTAGCAGGAAAGTCGCTCAATAATACGACACTGCGATTGGCGGACAACAGACTCAGGGTGAACCGTTAAAAAGTCAAAGGTTTAGTAGCCGTAAACTGAAGCTACGTGTAGAGTAGTATCCGGGAAAGAACATGCTCGTGAAAGATCGGCAAGGATCGGTAAGGATCGGGGAACGACGTTTCGAGGACGCCCGAGATCCTATTTCCGCGACATACTGCAACCAGCTGGCGGTACTTTTCGATGAGTAAAGACAGATAGAAAAATCATCCACCAAGATAAGTTCCCCGCAACGACAGAAACAGTCTCTTCCCTCCCCTCCCCCTATTCGTAGATTATTCGATAACAGTAACAAAAACTACCCCGATAGGAGCCACGAAAACTAAACTACACACGAAGTTTACTTAATGATTATTTTAATCAAGCGTTCATCTTCCATTTTGTTTTTTCTTTTATCGGATGACTGGTTAATTGTTTAGGTAGTAAATATCTGTAGCACTGTTAATGATTGTCCTAACACCTCGTACCCCCCACTCAGGCGCGTGTTTTATTTTGTTGATTTCTAAAACGCATCCGATACAATTTGACTAGCCATCAAATACGTACGTTTATAAATCCAATTTGTACTGTTTTCCTTTTCACTATGGGGAAAAAAAAATTACTTTCATATTTAACTGTAATTTATGTATAGTCCCGGTCGAAGGAAAAGAAAGAGAAAATCATGCACAAATTTCGCTCTCAAATGCATTTTCTCTCCAGCGTGCCTATCTTACCGTGACTCTATAACACGTTTAAAATACAATTTAATACCTAATGAATAATTATTATATACGGTATTATATATATCTGGCACATTCTCGATGATTATACCGTTCCTCGAGCCGTATCCTTCACCTACGAACGATGGTGAAAATCGGTGTATGATTGTTCGCACTCGGTTAACGGCACCACGCGTGGCCGTTTACTTATTATGTTGGTACGATGAGAGGTTTTATACATCACGCGAGTTTGTACGATAACGAGAGGAGAACAGAAGACGATCTTTTTCACCTAATTAAATAATTATACTCGAATAAAAATTCTCGATCACGTGATTTTGAATAAAAATGAAATTATTAAATGGGCTTTCGCCCCCAATTTTTCAAGAGTATAATAATGAAAAAAATCATGATGCACACGAGACATTGACATTTCTTCAAATATATTCAATTTCGAACGGAACATGGTACCCTCGCGATTGTTTTTCTATTCTCGTCGTAGTTTGTTAGACATATTATTTAATATTTTTTCTTTAAATTACCATACAACTCATTCACACATTTCTAAGATCGCCAGGAATTTGTCTTCTCGTAATATTAACAATGGTTTTTTTGTTTCTTAGTATTAGATGAAAGCTAGCTAGCTCGTGTCAGGCCTCGTTTGGATGTCGCACACTGCGTAATTTTATTTTCGTACTACTCTCGGCATCCCAAGCGTCGATTCTGAGAATTCCAACGCAAGCTGACTAACTTACTAGCTAGCTAAGCTTCTAGATACGGACGAAGGGTATAACAAGAGTTTGCTTTTCCAACAGTCAACCAACCTAACCTAACTATTTATCTATCTGCTTACCTACGCGTCTCTAGGAACACCCATACATTTATAATATTAATGGAATTTTAATGAGGTCGCTGACAGGCTGCCGATAAAGGCTACCTACCACAATAACAACAACAACGACGAATACGTCGACGATGAGCAACGTTTTCGAAGAAGTCGAGAGGAGTCCATTCGATTCTATTGACACCCGTTGGTTGGTTGGTTGGTTAGTTGGATCGGAGCACGTGTTCGTGAACTCTCTGGCTAACGCATATCGTGGCAATGTCCGCTACGTAGAGTGCAATGACGTAGGTATAATTAAAAACACGACGAGCTTAAGTTGCCAACAACAGCGAGTTTGAGCGTTTCATTCGGACTCGATAACGTTCGTCGAATTTTTTAAATTCCATCCATTCATCCACACCTTCCTTACCCCACCCCAATCCATCCGACCCAATGTATACAATTTTTTGCCTATAGATAATTAAAATATACATTTGCAAGTTTTCAATCATTGATATTACGCAATATTAATAAATACAATCAGGTTGTGAAAATCAGACGATTGAAATTGAAATAAAATAATGTTTATCCTAAGGGGAATAAAAAAGAAACGACAATTTTCGCTTAATCGCGCCTATGGAACAACACATCGATCTTTTTATCGATATAAAATCATTTTCTAAATAAGTACGATTATGCGAACCAAAAGTCTGTGCGTTTATCGTATTACAAATTGTATTATAAACTGTCTAATGGATTGTTTCTGTTAAAATTAACTTTGGAAATATTAATATTAAAAAACCGCAGGAACCCCCCTTAGAGATTCACCCTAACATTTAAAAAACGTTCTTCCCGTTCGGAATGTCGAGAAAGAAGTTTCGCATCTTCGGTGGCGCGGTGTGTGCGCCAAAAGGGCTCCCCGGGTCGATATTTTCTCTCATCGCGCGCGAAGCAGTTGCGCGGTTGGAGAGGGGGAAGCGGAGGAGGAGGAGAAGTTGGGGGGAGTTGGGAATGGAAGGAGGATGGATTGTTGAAGCTCGAGAAAAAGAAAAAGCTCGAGAAAAAGCAAGCGCGTTTCTCGAGGAAACAAAGAACAGGAAGAAGAAGAAGGAAAAGGAGGTTTTTGCATCGTTTTCACGAATCTTCCCTGCAGTTTTCTTCTTCTTTTTTTTTATTCATAGGATAACTTAGAGGAGGGGTTGGTTTGGTTGGTTGGTTGGTATAAGTTTACTGCTATGTTGGTGGTGTCTTTGGTGAGGGGGCTGGGGGTAGTGTCTCTGTTAGAGGTGAAACGTTCAGAGTCCAGCGAAGGGTCGGTAGACAGGCCGGTAGACGGGAGTAACGATTACCACCCCAACCGTGCCGAGGTGGTCGCCCCCTACGGTTGCTGCTCCACCCCTATATACATGCTACTCATTCGACGAATGCTAGTAACGCGCTACTAACCTAGCTGAAAACATCCCCCGATTCGGTGTTCGTCATAGTCCTCCTCCTCGACGTCGTTGTCGTCGTCGTTGTTCGATCGGCTTTAAAAGAACGAGGGAAACAATCGCCTGCCTCGAGGATTTTCTCGAGGGCAAATAACAAATGATCGTCGTCATCGACCCCCCCCCCCCTTCTCTCTTCTCCCTTCTACTCACCGCCCCCTTCTTTTGATTATTTTCGACTATTCCAAACTATCCTATAACTCTAACTGACTGACATTTTGTTACTTTTGTCTCTTGTTGTTTAAACTCGCTTTATTTTTTGTTTTATTATTACGATTTGATTATTATATCACACTACAAATGTGTCAATCCCGTTTAAGGATAACATTTTAATCAAAGATAATATTATTGTTCGTTTGCGAAACTCATCGTTTTAAATTGGAAAATCAGCATTTGAAAAACAGCAAATTCTATTGCTATTCGAAGTTTATTTTTAACTGACACGAGTTTATTGTTGAACAAAATAATCTTTGTAAGCGCTTTTGAGTATGAGGCGGAATTGTAATCGAAGAAAATATAACTATGTCAGTTATATATCGAGTATAGTCAATCCTGGCGAAGGGACTCAGAATGCCTTTGGACTGTGCTTTTAGAACTTTCAGGATTTATCTTATCCCGGAAACTTTTTCATCCTCGGACTTTCCGTTTTCTTTTTAAAATCGGATTAAATTCCGCTGCAAAAAAAAAGAACACGAAAGATATTGAAGTTTTTCTATATTTCCGGTTTAATACGAAAAATATTACGGTTTGCTTTAAAATTTGATTTGACGTATGTATTATGAGTCATTAACATTTCTTAAGAATATTTTTAGAATGAGTAATACTATTTTCGTAGAATTCATATTAATAAAACCGATTATTTTTTTCTTTTTTTTTTTTCAAAATATTATAGATAGGCAACAAATTAGTTCGTATGCTATCCTAAATTGTCCGATAGCGTATTACATCTATGTCATAATAGTAGATGTCCCTAGTAGGACAGCTAATCTTGATGTAATTGGACAATAAGGTCGTTGGGTCGTCTTTAAATGGTGGCTGTACGTATTTAAGAAGGTCTAGAACGCGAATAAATTGTGCCTACTATTCCTACTTTAGTCGTTTATCGACCAAATTAGTCTGGCCTGTAATCTCAGCAACGTATTTATTTATACACATGTATTTCCATACTGCAGTTAGAGGTCTCCATTGTTAGTCTTTATTTTCTTCTATTTTTCTTAGAAAAAGAAGAAGAAGAAAAATGACGCAAAGATAAGTTAACGGTGATTCCGACAAGGCCCGATGATATCGTCACGGTTTTTCTAAAAATAAACAGAACGCGACCGATAAGAGTTTTAAAAGTCAGCTAACAAAAGCCAGTAAGATCAGGGACTCGTTTCTCAGGTCATCTCTAGGTCGTCCGTAACTTGTACACCCTATATTTCCAATCCTAAATGTACGGAGGATCATCGTTGGCTGTTGAATTAGCTTTTATCCAAGAGGGGAATTTACGGATTGGTATATGGGAGGTAGATGACACACAGAGCCTGTATGAATATCGATCCAGACGTTTGACCTTGCCAAAACCCCCCAATAAAAAGAAAAAGAAAAAGAAAAAGAGACAAAAAGGGATTGCTATAAACGTTCTTTCAACTATTTCACAAGAGTCGTCGTGATCTCTTAGCAGAGGAATCTGTCTGAAGTGAAATCAAGAGGTATATATGTAACTCCGGTGTGTTTATTCGTTGGTGATTGACCGAAGGAAGAAACAGATCGAAGAGAGGTAGATGGTTGGATTGTATATATGAGTGTGTGTGTGTGTGTATGAGAGAGAAAGAGAGAGAGAGAGAGACGAAACACGGAAAGTGGGAAACGTTTGCGCGTACCTTCCCCTTCGGACGAATCAATAACTGGAACCCTTGAGTCGCGACTCGTCGCGTTTCGTCGTGTCTCGTGGCGACTCGTCTCGTTTCGTTTCGTTTCGTCTCGCGACAAATATCCTCAGAGTTTAAACCAAGATAATGTTCGACTACAAATATCTCACGTTTGTTCTTAAGGAACCGGGGATGAAACCCCTTTTACAAGAGAGGAGCTCATTATTGCTGCTGTTGATGTTTGCAGTTCTTCTTCTTCTTGTTTTTCTTCTTATTCTTCTTTATCCTATTTCGTACGTGGTCCTACAAATGTTATATTCCCTTGTTAAAATCCAGAAGAATTTCTAATATTTCTAAGAAGGATTTTCAGCATTCATTTATCTTTCCTGTACCGTCCTGTACTGTCGACTGTTGCGTTGCTGTCGCTGATGTTTCTGTTGCTGCTGCTGCTGCCACAATGTGTGGATGAACAAGGGTGGGGGAAACATGTCGTTGTCCACGTTATACGACGTGTGACTGACTCCTATTCGAAGATACTATTGAACCGTTTTCTTTTTTATAATCAACACTATTATTTCCCGTACAAGGAATAAACAAGACGATGTTTTTAATTCGATTAAAAAATATGTAAAGGTTCGTTATTCGCGTGAAAAAGTAATATGTATATAATATAATGTTTTCTTAACAAATACCATCGATGGTTGTTCAAATTTTCTATGATCGTTAAAATTTAATTAATCATTATATCCGGTAAGCATTATTACAATTGATAATTAATGACGAAATAAATATATAATAAAAAAGCTATTGTAGTTATTTTGATTTAGCGTAGTCGAAAAAAATTTATTGTTCTCGATAAACATAAATGTTCAACTTTTTAATTGAACATTTAATGAATGGGAAAAATTTTCGTTGCAATTGATATTGAAAATAACGGTAACTGTTTCGTTAATTAATTACTATTTTTAATAAAATGTAAAGATGTGATAAGAAATGAAAAATTATTATCGATTACTAATCAAAGTGTAAGCAAGGATCTGATGGAAATGCACAAACGTTTCAGCAACATGTAACGTGGAGGAAGTCCTTGTCTCTGCTATCTCTCTTCCTCCCACTCTTTCTGCCCCCCCTTTTCTCTTACGCTTGCTTTCTTTTTATATATATATATCTATATATATACATATATATATATATATATATGATCCCCTCTCTTTTCCTCCTCGTCTTTGGACGGTCATGCTTTCAAGGTCGATCGCATTCAGCTGGGAGACCGGTCGATCAAGTTACCGACAGATGGCACCACGCAACGGTGAAAATTTAACACGTGGTTTACCAGAAATCGTAGTAACAAAAGAAAAAAAATATTAAATGTTACTATAACCATCGTTAATCGATGTATTTCCTTAATTTGAACGAGTGTTCAACAAAAATAACCAAACATTGTCCCTAGAAGTATGGATAAATCTTTAACATTTTCGCCATACTTTTATCAATATTTTTTTATTAAGCAAGTAAAGAAATATTTCTAATTTGCTTTAAATATCATAATTAATTTGCATGTATCTATTTTGTTATAAAAATAAATAAAATAAGATGAGGCATTCACGAATGTTAGCTTCGAAACTACTATATGGCGCCATCTTTGGTACAACACTGGAACTAAGATTTAATAAGCGCGCGGATAAGAAGATAAGACTGACCTCTATCGTTTCTAATTCGAACTAAATTGTGTTATAACAAATGTATCTTTTTACAGATAATATATTAATAAAGTACCATTGAGATTAAAATGAAACGTAGACTCTCTCGTTATCCGTTTTTTAAAGATAAAAATTTGAAAGTTAATATCGATCCTCTTATTCGCTCGGTCGATAATATCGTGCTGTATGTATAGTTTACTATACACTTGTATTTTTCTAATAATTTCCCGTTCCATCAAATGACGCCATTTTGTTTTTTAATAAAAATTTGCAATTTCAATAAAAACAGGCGCACAAAAAAAATAAGTGCATATCTTAAAAATGTGTATCAAAATTATTGTTTGTAGATAGTACAAAAATACCGAAAAAATAGAACGATAATACATTGTATTATAAAAATTTGTATAAATTGCATGCACTGTTGCTACGTTTATTTACATACACACGCCAGCACGTACACACACATATAATAGTCTTTTAAACGGTGTATTTCGCCGAATTAAAAAATCACAAAAAGTGAAAAATTCAGAATAGATGTTAGAACATTTTCGTTCAAATATCGACAATTGTATTATGATCGAATAAGAAATGAAAATTCAAGATTAGAAAGAGCTGCACCGGTTAAGAGACGTTCATACGAGGTCAAGGTAAAAGTTTGAAACATGAAAAGAAAAGAAGAAAAAGAAAAGAAGGAAAAAATCTTTTAACAGGCAAGCATTCCATATCTACCTAGAGTGTCGGATAGCTAGTTCCAAAGTAGTGGCTGTCGATTGCCACGAAAGGTCACACAGGAGAGAAAAGTCAGAAAAGTCTTTCATAAGTTTTACTTATCAAACGTTACGGGATTTCAAAGATTCAATCCGTTAGAAAAACCCGATGCAGGTTAACTCGGCTTTTATGACGGTCCTCGCCATTTTCTGCTCTTAATTAAATTGTACATGAAAATGTAAACGATTTACGTAGTAAATTCTTTTACACAAATTGTTAATTAAAATATTTGCAGAAAGAGAAATTGTTTCTACTCGCGAAATTAAAATTACAAAAGTATTGGATTAATGTTCTCTTAACGTGTGTTTTAATAATTTACATTGTGTTTTTATTTCATAGATTTTTATGCGAAAAATTAAGTAAGAAATATTAAGTGGTATTTTACGAGCAAGTATAAATAATTAAAATATATATATTAAAACGAAATATTTCTTTTCTTTTCTTTCCTCGACCACTTGCGCTGTTATGACGTAATTTATCATTTATGTTGAGTATTCTGTTAACACGCAGAAATTTAAATTAGCAATGACGCGTATTATCGTCACGTTGTTTCATATTCTTATGTTATCGATAAGATTTTGTGTATAATCTCTCTTTCAGCAGTAGTATGATTAATTTTATAAACACCATTTGAATTATTTAACTCGTTCTAAATTCAACCCAACACACACGTTGGTCTCGTGCGTTATTAAAAAAAAATTGTCAGCGTAAGTGGTTAAGTTGGAAGATCGAAACAAGAAAAAAAAAAAAGAAAAAGAAGAAAGAAATTCAGAACAAAGAGCAGAGACGATTGACCGTCGTTTCCAAAGTTGTCCTTTTTTTCGCAACAACTCGCTCTAATCGTTCCGTCGATCCTTCAATATCCAAAAATCTTGTCGATTTTTACCTCGAAGAAATCTAGTTAATTTTTTACGATATCACCAAACGTGCTAGTAATTTTTTAAACGTATTACTAAATGAAACATCTCTCACCGATTTCCTTTATAGTCTTTAACAAAAAAAAAAAACAATAATAAAATTATAACTATTGACTAACACAATTTTTGTTAAACGACAAGAACTTAATTTTGAGAAACAAAAGAAAAAAAATAAGAGTGCCGCGTCGAGGTTTGATAGAAAAGGATCGTGAGGAAATCCTTCAGAGGGGGTGGTTTGTTTTTTTTTGGACATATCGCATCAAGGGTTCTTCCACTCGGAGTGAGCCTAGTAGTTGTTGTTGAGAAACGGGAGGTTTTTTTTTTTTAATTATAATATATCCTCTCACGTTCCCCGTTTAACGGTGCGAATCCCCGCGCTCTTTTCCCGCGCTTACCTTTCTTGATGAGCAAGCTAGTGACCCTCCGTAGCGCCTCGCGAGTGCTGGACGCGGAGCTGTGCTTACTTTGGCCGAAGTATTTGTTGGGCGTGATGTTCGTCGGCAGGGTTAACGGTTTCCTCTGATCAGTGCCAGTTGGTAATCTAGCGTCGTAAGCGTTGTTAAGCCGTTCGAGATGTTCGATAGAAGCTGGCCGCGGTTGATTGGCTTTTCTCGTTGGGTACCATCCACGATTGGGCCCACCAGCCAGTCGGAGCAATTCCGTTCCAATAATCGCCTGTTCCAGACCAGGATTGTTCCTTCGATACCTGTTGTGTGTCCAATAAATATCGTATACCATTTGTTTTCATTGATTTATTTCTTCCTATCTTTTATATAATACAAATCTTTTCTTCCTTACCCGCCAGTGGTTGCTGTAGTCGGTGCGTACCAACCGGGTTGCCTGCGAGTTTGCGCTTGGTTCCCCCCAGCATGCTGAGGAGTCCTTGGAATATCGCTGCCCCTGGCAAAAACAGGAGTTTCCGGTAACGAGCAAGAAGTTTGCATGCCCGTTGTTCCTCCAACACCACTGGCTGCTGCAACGACGTTAGTCGCGGTTCCGCTGTTAACTCCACCACCATTGACACCACTTCCACCACCCCCATTGGCACTGCCATGAGCAACGGTAGCCCCGTTGACACCACCGTTCACACCAGAAACGCTCGAAATGCATCCCCCCCCATCCGTAGAGGGTGAATTTCTCTTAGCGAATGGTCGACGTCTCGATGAGGGCCCTGGCAAATCCGTTGGCAGTGTCCTTCTTTCCACCGGTACCTGAAACCAAACCAGACGACCGCAGCCTTTTTTTCTATTTTCGTTCTTCCATTTTGTCTGTTTTATTATCGCTACAATCATCGCCATCTTCCTTTTTTTTCCCCTTTTTCTCTATCGATTGGAAATTTCGAGAACAACTCGAAACTTTCATTTCGCTCGACCGATCTCTCGAACGTTCAGTTTCCGATCGCAAAACGCGTCTGCGCTAAGAGAACTCACTCGCGCGCGTTCGTTTTCGAGAGGAGATATGTGATCGTTGAAAAAAAATTGCCAATATTTGCGAGGACAATACCACCACCAGTCAGAAGAGAAAAAACGAGTGCACTGTTACTGTTCTCTTCTATTGCACATCATAGATGCGTAACTACTATTCGCATTCTCGATTGATGCTTCTATGCCTTTTACCCAACCCCCACCCTTTTCTTTTTTTTTTTACCGAGCATTCTGCTACTCCAGAACTACCGATTCCTACCCTTCTTTTTCTCGTTGCTAGGATTATTAAACCGAAAAAAAAGAACAAAAAAAGAGAGAAGATGTCATATCTCGGAGATGAGTGCCAATCGTATCTTTCAGACTATTCGTAATCTTCTATATCATTCTCTAATCGCTTACTATGAAACGAATGTCGAATGAGTTTCCGGAGACAAGCCCCCCCCAACACCGCCCCTTTGGAAAATGGATTTCGAGCAACACAGGGGTTGTTGTTTTCTTTTTTTTTCTTTTTTACAGAAGAAAAATAATTTCCAACGAATTATAACCGCGTGAGAATGCACAATTTATATCTCGAGGCTCGTTTTTCTGCATCTGAATTAATCGAAGATATCTGTTAACCCGATCGTGAATACATTCCTTTCCTATTGCTGAATTTATTTAATAAGAAAAACGGGCTTATATTAATATCGATTATGTTAAGTGACGCACTAACACACACACACAGAAAACGATGCAACGTTTTTCTTATTCGAATTTCCCCCCATTCCCCATTCCCTGGGGGAAAATTATTTCTGGTTTCTTTTTGTTTTGTTTTTTCAAACGACACGACGCGTAATTGGTCGACGGTAATTGTTTTTTTTTCTTATTTTCTTTCCAATAACGAGACGAATATCATAAATAAACGATATTAATCTTGGTTCTTCTTTGAATTCTTTTATTAGTGTTGGGAGAAAAAAAACAAAAAAACGTTTTTGCTATCCCCGTACGACGACGTCTTATTATAATTCACATATTTTCATTTTTGTTTCACAAATTTTTACGCTTCTTCTAAGTCAGTTGATTGGTTGGTTGGTCGCAGATGTTATTTAATTAACGAACGTCTCGTCGAATATTTAATTAGCATAATTAAAGAATTATGACGAAAGCAAGGTCGAACGTTGAGACAGCAAATTAAATTGGAATTTAATGAGATGAAATTAATGCGAATTCTTAACTTTTTTTTTTTTTTAAGATTATCAATCAACGGGGTAATTTTTCGAGAAAGAAAAGAGATTTATTTATTATTATTGTATTTTTTAATTATTTTTTATTTATTTCGCAATAATTTTCTTTCATCTAACTGTCTCCACAATGGAAAACACGTTTATCATTTTCCATCTCCGATTATCAGACTTGGAGATCAGGTTTTTCTTTCTCGATTCTCGGGTTGTTTTTTTTTTTTTTTTTTTTTTGAAATGTCCCATTGTGCATCGATCGTACTTCATAGTTCATTTCCCACACATTTCGTTTGAATTCTCGATCGCGATTTTACGAAAGTTAATTCAACGGTTGTTGGTTTCGTGCAAGAAGAAAGAAAAAAAAAAAAAAAAGAAAATAAAAAACTGGTAAAGAAAACGACGAAGTTTACGATATTATATCATTTTCATCGAAGGAATGATTTAAAACGTCAAACGATAAATAATATTTGATAGAAAAATCTATATGCTTATCTATTATATTTTACAACAGAGAGAGAGAGAGAAAGAGAGTGTTGCGCGCGAGACGATATAAATAAATAAAAAAAGAAAGAAAAAAAACCAAACGTAAACGAACGAGAGATTAGATACGAGGATATTATTTTTTTTTTGTTCTCTTACGAGTCAGACGTGCGATTTAGTTTATATGAATTTACGTGTCCTTTTTTTCGGTAATGGTTTCTCTCTCTCTTTTTTCTTTCTCTTTCTCTCTCATTGGTATGATTCACCATGACCAAGAGAGAGAATGTATTAGAAAAAGAATAGGATGAAATAAAGTCGAATATTACGTTTTGCTAATGGTACAAAGTTGGCCGGCATCCAGCCGACATTTTGGCCAAAGTCACGCTAGGTTTGGTCCCTAGGTTCGACCTTCCCTCATTTGCCTTGACATTGAATTCTCTCTCTCTCTCTTTCTCTCTCTTTCCGCATCGTTGGCTTTTAATTTGGGTATACTACTTTCTCCTCTTATTTTTTTCCCCCCTTTTTTTCATCATCGTTCGACCGATCTTGATTTCCAAAGAAATTACTCGTCGTATTCCCGACGAACGATCGTTAAAAACAAATATTTATCAGGATGAACCAAAAGTTCGTGCCGCAGAGTATTTTTTTCTCTATTTAATTAATATTACAAAAGAGTAAATGTTATAAAAACAATAATTTCTCGTGTAGAGTTTCAAAGTAAAGTTTTCAAGACAACAAACGAGCGAAGAACTTTTGATTCGTTCTAATAAAAGGTAATCAATGGAAAATCAAATAAATAGGAATATGGTGAAGAGTGATGATTGATGTACCTCTCTTCTAGAATTACTGGCTGTCGGTGTACGTCTGCCACGTGAAAATCCGGCATCCATCGATCTCGTATTGAGCGAGGTTTGATGATCTTTGGTATCGATCACTTGGCTGCGATGAGGCGGCACTCTAGGCCTGTATTCCATTGTTCTGTTACTACTATGACTCTTTGATCTGGTATTACTGATTACTGCGTTTTGTCCAACATCCGAACTTTCTTCATCCGCTTCCTCGACAGGTGACGGTGGCAATGGCGGGAACTCGAGCACCTCGACGCTTACCTGTCATAGAACGTTTCAAACATTATTGCTTTTGAATAATTTTTCTAATCGTTCGTTTGTAAACTCTCTGACGATATTTTGTTACTAGGATGATGAACCAAAAGTTCGTGTGCGTTTTTCAATGATTAATATTTCACTTTCATATAAAGTCATTTTATTGAGACTTGGAAAAAATGGTGCTATCCGAATTAACATAATAATAAATTCCACGAACTTTTGGTTCATCCTAATATACATTATTTTTCTATTACTTTACACGAACATAATCAAAGTCTACTTCTCGTAGAATTCGTATCGATAAAATGATGTGACGCATTTATTTATATCATATCGATGATTACTTTTTTTCAAGGTTTGGATTAATTCTAAGATTATATTTACTCGTTCGTGTGTGTGTGAACGATTAAGTATAAATAAATCAACTCGGAAAAAAAACTCAAGATACATTTCGTATCTTATTTACCGTGTCAAAAGTATCCTACCTGAAAGTCAGGATTTTTTGAGTCCTCCAATATAGCATCTATCACATGCTCGATTTGTTTCTGATTATTTTTATGACATTCTAAACCATTTTGTCTCAATCTTCTACCAGACGCGTAAATGTCCGTCCCATTAGCTTTTCGTCGATCGAAATCGCTCTCCGAGCTGGTCTTCGAAGTTTCCGAATCTGAACTCTGTTGTTTTCTATTTCTCGGCTCGTAAGGGCTGCCCAAAGTTTTTCGATTTGCTCGTTCGATCGAATCGTTCTCGTAACTGTTCCTCCTAGAGGATGCCCTAACGTCGCCATTTTTCCATCGTTTGTTTTCGGAATAAGACTCGCTGTTCTTAACGTTTTCAATCTCCTTGATGGCATCGCTGACCTTTTCCAATTGTCTGCGATTTTCGTTCAATGCCTTTTTCACTATTTGATCCTCGATCAAAAGATTGACCGGTATTTTGGATGACAATCTTTCGCTGCTAGTAGTACTCGTTAATTTTTTCGATCTTTCTTCGAGAAGAAAATCGATCGGTTTACCGATATCCAATGCTTTAGATGCAGAAATTGAAAGTGGTATACCACCGTTGCATTCTCTATCGATACCAAAATCCTTGCTCGTATCTTTGTTGCTGGTGCTGATGGAAAAATTATTCAACGTTAACCTTTCGCGTGAAATTTCGCTCAACTGTTGTTGTTGTTGTTGTTGTTGTTGATGACGTTCCTTTTTCATTTTGCCGAACAATTTTTGTCCTACCGACGTTTCCTCGGAATTAATCTTTACGCCAAGATTTTTAGGTACAGCACGATTGTGTTCTTCTTCCTCTTCGTCCTCCGCGTCCTCTTCCTCTTCTTCTTCTTCGTCATTTTCGTCGTCTTCGTCTTCTTCTTCGTCGTCGTCGTCGTCGTCGTCGTTGCTATTGTTATTATTATTATTATCGTTGTTGTTGGTTATCGGTAAGGAAACGACTCTGATCAGATCCGGTGGTGGTACGTTGTCGGCAAACTCGTTCGGTAATTCGTCCAAATCTTCCGATTTTTCTTCCGACGATCTCCTTTTTTTACCAGCCTCCATCATTTTATTATTATCCTTCAAAAGACTTTTAATATTGTCGAACGTTGTCGAGTATCGTTTAACGTCCGAAAATCGATTTTCCTCAGCTTTCTCGAACGACAAACTTTTCGTCTTGGTGGCAGCGCTCTTTGGCAAAACTTTTCGTTCCTTTTTACGGCCACGTCGTATTACGTACGTCCCGTTTTTGCTCAAATCCTGTGGACGAATTTGATCGAGATCATTCGTCGAGGAATCCGAGTAAGGTGATATCAAATCGTCGTCCGTAGTCGAGAGCCTTGGATCTTGCCAATCGTCAAAGTCACGTAGTTTCGATGCCGATCCAACGCCTGCAAGAAAAATCGTTATCGTTGAAAGATTTTTTCTATTTTTTTTCAAAAATAGATGCAATAAGATTAAATAAAACAAGATAAACGTAATTATCTTCTAATCGATGAGACAGAGAGCTAACAACTACAGCGACGTGCTTAGCCTTTTAAGTACGGATTCATGAGTGTTATTATGTTACACTTCGAATATATGACTCACATTATATAAATTGCATTTACACATCGTTTGCTTCGATTCATTTTTCATCCGATAAAATATATTATTGTTTAAACGATTTTTCGTTGTATAACCCAAAAGTTTGACAATTAAATAATACAAAATATAAAATATCTGAACCCCGCGTTAAAAACTTACTAAGAATAATTGACAATTGTTATTATTACATTGAATCTCCCCTAATTAAAAGGTTAAGCATTTATAACTTGAATAATAAAATCGTTAATAAAAGTAAAAAGGGACTTACTGGAAACGTCGCTGCTCTTTCGACGTCTCCTACCGACAACTTTGGTGCTACCAGGGGCGTAAAGAGGATCGTCTTCTAAGGACACTTCCCAAGCGATCGAGTGTCTCTTACTGATGGGCGGTGGTGGTGGTAAGAGCTCTTCCAAGGAATCGTCGGAAAATCTTTCCTCTTCGGATTGAGTACGAAAGTCGGTTGAATTTCTCGTTGAGAAATCGGAATTTCTCGTCGAGAACATGTCGGAGTAACGTTCCTCCGAACATCTGTCGGAGGTGCGACCGGAAAATCTTTCGCTTGATTCGGCACGTGGCAATGAAAACGAAACAAAGTCGAGATTCCGAATGGAGAATGGATCGGAGGTTGGTATGGAAACGTGATCATTCGAGCTGGCACTTGCCACGGCTATCGAGAAATCCGAGTGGAATCTTTCGTTCGAGGTTGAATTCGCCCTGGAAAAGTCCGACGAGTCGCAGTTGGCTCTCATCGAGAACCTCTCGACGCTTACCGAACTCGAACGTGGTATCGACGATCTTTCGGATTCCGAGTTACGTGAAAATCTGCCCTCGCTCGAGTCCGAATCGTTTCTACGTCGTCTTTGACCGATTTCTTCGAGCCCTGCTCCACTGGCATCACCGCCACTTGCATCACCGCCATTGCTACCACCACCGTTACTGCTGCTACCTCCTTCTCCTCCACCACCACCACCACCAATTCCTCCTAGTCCTAGTCCTACTCCTATTCCTCCACCTCCACCACCTCCTCCTCCTAAACCTCTACGATTATGAATACGATTGTGACTATGACTGTGATTATGATTCATCAGTAATCTATCCTCCACGCTGCTTGACTTCATGATCTCGTTTTGCCTCTGTTTTCGCAAATGTGAGGTCCGATCCTTTTCAGGATTCTTACGACGACGATCCCTCTCCAGATCCTCCTCGGACGAACGACGCCTAACTTCACGGTGTTTCTCGATGGTGCATGGATTAGTCCTAGGTGGTATCCAATTGAACGACACTTTGGTATCGTACGGTAGACTAGCAAATTTACTTGGCGGGCTAGAACTTGCTGGTTCTCGTTTCGTTCTACCCATATCTGCGTTACCGTTCTCCCATCCGTACGGTCTTCGATGTCGGGTCTTCGGCTGTATGAATTATAAACAAAAAAAAACACGTCGTTAATATTTTATTTATTTCTCTGATCGAATGGGTTATCTCATTTATTTCTTTTTTTTATTATATTCATATTCTACTTTACAAATTGTTCAGTTTAGTTAACACGTGGGGGGATGGTAATTACTATTTTATCGATTTTTCTTTAATTTATCGTTGAACAATTTTCTAATCAACCTTTCGGTATCAAATTAAACTAGTCGTTTTACCCGTTTATTGTTAAATAAATATTATGTTCCCCCTCCCCCGCCAAAAAACAGAAAGTCGATTTATTTTGGCTACCGACCGATATCAAATTTTTGTTTGTTTGTCCCCACAAAAATGTTTTATATCATTTTAGGGATCAAAGGATAATAGAAAAGGGGTGTAGTACTCACAAGAGTTGTCTGGGTGGTAACCGCGTTTCCGTGGCGCATGCTATCCTCCATAGTTATCATCCATTGCTGTCTACCACTTCGTCGTTCCGACGATTGGCTCGTTCTCTTCGACGAGTTTCCGGGGGAGACTCTGATAACAGACAGAGAAAGACCCGTACGAAATAATCCACATGCTTCTTCGACTTTAAAATAACCAGTCATATATCTTTCTTCCCTCCTACCCCACCCCATCGTATTTGTTCTCCGTTAGATACCGGGTGGTCGGGGCTGGGGAAAGTGGAGGGGATAAGCTTTAACGAAAATTTCATTTTAGGTGAGAACTTTGACGCGGAATGCTTTTAAAGCTAAGCTTTTTGTCTTCAACGAAACCTCTCAACCCATCGATAAACTTTTTCTTCTTATTCTTCTTTTTTTGATTTGTTTTACAACTATCGAAAATATTTTTAAACTAACGTCAATTTGAAGAAACATTTTGGACTATACCAGTAAAGGAATGTAATCTAAGAAACGTGAAGAACTAAAAGAAGTTCCTTACAAATTCTTCCTACCCACCCACCTCGTTGTTCTTTCAACGAGGCCAAGGCTTTTTTTTTTATTCGACCACTTTTTTCACCCGATTGCATGATATCGATCGTTTTTCAAACGCGAAACGTTGCTATGCGAATTATCGAATTTTCACACGTTCGTTCACGTACGAACGAACGAAGCTTGTGTGTACGTGTGTGAGTTTTGTACGTAAAGTTTCAAAATGAATTTCGTACTTTATAATTATCGCGATTTTTTTTTTTTTTTTGACAGAGTTATGTATATTAATGAAATCAGTTTTTTTAACGAAATAAATAACGAATATTTTTCGTTTAATTTATACAATGAAAATAAAGCGAGAACATAAGTTGCATAAAAATGGACTTTGATTCCCGAAAACTATTTTTAAAATGGCGTCCGTAATAACAAAACATCTTTTGGTTAAATATTTTATTCAATCGGTCTAATAAAACAACGAAATGTCGATAATTTGATTCGATTAGAAAAGAAAAAAGTTTATTGACAAAAATTCTACTTACAAATATACGAAAGAAGACCAAAAGAAAAAGTAGAGAAAACACGATTCGAATCGTGAGCAACTTTAATGGCTACGTAATATAAAGAGGTTAGGAAAAATGAAATAAAAACAACGACAAAAATAAATGTCAATTAAATATTTTATCCAACGTGTCTAAAGAGAAAAAGAAAACCAAAAATGACAATTCCAAATAAATAAATAAATAAATAGAAATTTCTCGAGTAGAAAGAAAATGGCCAAGAAAATGTGGTGGTCTAGAATCTAAGTTGAAAGAAGAAAAGGTTGAGTGAAAAAGTATATATATATACACACACACATATATATATATATATATATATATATATATATATAGGTGGCCTAAGTTTTCTCGAAGAAGAGTGAATAACAGACAGAAAGACAGACAGACACGAAACGTGGTGATTAGGATCGACAAGTTGAAGGAAAGAAGTGTACCACCACCACCACCAACCACTCGGTGGTAAGTTTAGTATTATTGACGTTGAGTATAGATGTTATAGGTGTGTGTTAGTATTGGGTCTCGATAGTAGTGGGTGTCGAGACCAACATCGATGAGTTTCCTTTTTTTCTTTTTCTTTTTTTTTTCCCTCTACCTAGTCGAGCTTTTCCTCCACCAAGAAGAATTGTGCATAGTCAAAGTACACTCGGAACGTGTTTTTCCGATATTTTCCTTTCCTCTTTCGCTTTACGTTTTCGCCTCGATCGTTACGACACTCCGGATACAAGAAGAAACGTTCAGAGAGGGGTGGGCGGGCAGAAGGAGGGGGGTGGGCAACCAACACCTATTCTGCTGGCTGTCGAGGAAATTCCAGAAAATCTCGGCCAACGTGTCGAGTTTACGAAGAAGACAGATAGACAGACAGATAGACAGACAGACAGACAGACAGTGAGAGAAAATCGCTAGCAAACGAAAAAAGAAAAAAAAAAAAAAACTTTTTGTCGCCGGTTTTCCTACTTTCTGTTTCTTTTTCTTTTTTTTTTTTTTATCTTTTTTCCCCACTTCAAACGGAAACGAAAAACTTGGAGAATCGGTTAGTTCGTGATAGAAGAAGAGAAAAAGAAAAAAAAAATACTTCGATATCCCTCCAACCCCCTCCCCTGTCACGTTCAAAGGCAAAAAGGATCGATTAATCATTTACGTACTTTCAACGTAACGTTGTTGTAAAATTGAAGGATACTGATGACTTAGGTTAAAAATTTCAATAATTTTCCTATCTCTTCGCGGTGTTATATTATCCACGATAAACTATAATCGTATATAATGGTGTATATTGTTTTAAATTTTTATTATATTAAATATATATTTTTATTATATAAAATAAAAATAAGCCAGAAAAAAAATATATTTTTTATTATGTGAAAAATAATTAAAATTGTATATTAAACGTTGCGTTTAACGAACGAAGGATAAGTAATTACGTTAATTGATTTTTTTTCATTTTTTTTGTTTTTTAATCTAATCATGACTTTCAACGTCGTATCGAGTAAGAATACATGATCGAAGTTTTCCCGATAGTTTGGTGTCTCTATTTTAAGGAAAGTTTCATTTTCTTAACTAAACTCGTTCAAAGAGAGAGGGGGGGGGCGGTGTGAGAATGGGGGGTGAGTTTATTTTCGGTTTGACTTTAGTACTCGAAGTTTGGCAATTGTCTAGAAAAAGTGTTACTCTTTATTAAACTATTATTACGAGTTAAAGTATTATTCTCGTCGATTAAAAATAACAATCCGAAAAATCTCGCCGCCCTCCTCCTTTTTCGGAACGTTTATATATTATTGTCAACAGTTTTAATCTGCTATTATCGGAATAATATCGTAGTAGCGTAGCGTAATAATATTTAAACGTAAAATTGACGAATAAATTTTTCAATCAATTGTACCAATAAAAAGAAATTAATTGGATCGAGTTGTGTGGAACAATTGAGTAATAAAAAACACAAAACAAAAACATAATTTATATTTCACGAATTAATTATAGATTATAAAATTATTCGTATTAGAAAATAAGTCAGAAAAATATGATTCATCTTTTCAATTTTTCTTTTTGTTTGCAATTAAAATTATATTTTCGGTTATAAAATAAATCGTAAAATAATTCCTTTTTTTGGTTTCTTTTTCAGTTGTTTCCTTCTCCCTCTCCCTTCCACCCCCATTCTCCCCCATTTTAAAAATTAACAAAAAAAAAATTATGTTTACGCTGCAACAATTAACTTACATCGGTAATAGGGTAGAAATAATGCGTTCTGCTTCTTCGGGGGGCGGAGGAAATTCCTGCGATGGTAATCCCGCTGAATCTTGTGGCTCCGGACAGTCCGGAACCGGTCGTAATGCTAACAACGCCATTTTCGCTTTCCGTCCATTCATGCTCATGTAACCGTCGTCCTCCGATTGATGTCCTATATAGGAAAACATTTATATAAATCAAACATAATAATTTTCAATAATAATTATTATATCTCGCGATATATACGTCTTATTTTTGTTAGTGAAAAAATATAATATAACAAATTTTTGTTTCATTCGTAATTCATAAGAAAAACTATTTAAAAAGAAAAGAAGAACGTTTAAAAAGTTTGCAATTCGAAATGAATTTATTTCCTTTTGTTTTTTTTTCTTCTCTCTCTCTCTCTCCTGTGGTCTAATTAAAAATAAATATCGTAACGTAACGGATTTTTCGTTGCATTTTTAAATATTTTTTTTCCTCCCATTCGATGAATAGGGGGGGGGGGTTGGCCGTTGGAAGATATATTAATGATTATCGGTATTTGCGAACAGATTGAAACTATAAACTGCAAATCGGTTCTAGAAGTTTATACATTCTTGTTAATAGAACGCCTGCCTCCCTCCCTCCCCCTTACTTCCCTTACTACCCTCTCTCTCTCAGCAATTAATAATAACTCGCTATTATTGCATTGGCTTACGATGTACGTATAAAGCTTATCCCGCAGAAATTGATTAAACAAGCGCAAGTAGATAAGCATTATTATAGTTTCCTACATCTTTCTATGTACGTGTATAGTTATGTCTGTGTTTGTTAACGAGCGAACCTGACGCGAGTTAATTTAATGATCCCATTGTTTCGAGTAAGAATAAAAATACAAAAAATAAAAAAAAAAATCGAGAAGAGATGAGAATAAAAAAAAATATTTCATCCAACCGATTTGATAATTATCGAATTATATCTTAAATAGGAACAGATCTCGTTAGAATTATTTACGATTCTTTTTTAAAAGGACAATTATGAGACAATCGTAAAATAACGTCAACGTTTTCTTTTTCTGGGGATGGGGAGAGAAATTTTGTTAAATAAAAATAAATATTACAAATATAGAAAGAAGAATAGAGAGAGAGAAAAACCAATTACCGAAAAAGTAATTAAAAGAAAAATGAATGAACCGACGAGTATATGACAGCATCATTTTCGCGATAGTTAAAACAAGTTGGACAAGTAAATGTGGCGAATAAAATGAGAAAGTATAGAACAAAAGGAAAGGGCTTGTCAAACTTTAGAAACGGAGGAGAACCGGATCTGATACACAAATACACAATTTCAAAAATAATTCTAAACTCGTTTGATACGTTTTAACAAATATGAACAATATTTAAATTATAAATAGTACGTAATATTATTTTACGTACTATTATAAGAATATATAACAATATTGTATTAATTATTAAACTTTTGACACTTTCTAACGATCAGATGTTTCGTTCAGGTACTCGAACGTGTTTTTTTATTCCTAAGACCAATGGTCAACAAATTGCAAAGATATTTTGACCTTCTCCTATAATTTGTAAAAAAAAAAATTCGACGAAAACGTCTAGAATGTAAATTATTTATTTCCAATTAAAAAAAATGGTATAATATTATTCCGCTATCTAAAATTGGCTAAAACATATTATTAATAATATATACCTCATCTCTTATAGAATAAGTTTCAACTGATATTGATTGACAATCATGTGGCAGAAATTGGCAGAAGCATCCTTGANATATATTTTATTTAATATTATTCTATATGAGATAATATATGTTATTTCTTGTTTTTAAACGTATATTTGATCTCTCACGGTAAGAATAGGTATATATAAAATATATCGAACAAGTTTAATATTTAATAAATGACAAAAAGAAAAGAAAAGAAAAGAAAAAATAACATCCATCATATTTCTCATTGATATCAAAAGTTCAAACATTTCAAGATACCGAAAGAGAGAGGGTTGGCTTGCGAACTATCAGAACAAAATAAAGGGATAGGTTTGTTAAGAACAAAAATAGATAAGAAAAAGGAAAATCAAGAGAAGTAAGAATGAAATGGGGGAAGAAAAAAAGAAGTAAAGGAAGGAAGTATGTTTGATAGTACCTAAAGAAGGACTCTCGTCGTCGGGCGTGAGGCCAATACTGGGTTCCGTGCTGCTGCCACAATCTCTGAGAAGACCGTCGACGATATTTTCGTTTCTTCCGTTCCCGACAACGACGACGACTTCTTCTTCTTCTTCTTCTTCGTCTCCAGCAGCACCACCTCCGCTGCTGCTGCTTCTGCTGCCACTTCCGCTTCCGTTACCGCCGCCGCCGCCACCACCACCGTCGCCACCTCCACCTCCACCTCCACCTCCACCTCCACCTCCACCTCCACCACCTCCACCACCACCACCACCAACACCGGTGCAGACTTCGCTTTCTGCCTCGTGCTCGTCGTACTCTGAGAGCACTTTGTCCAGCAGTTCGATCGATCGTTGTACATCGTCACCTCTGGAACAAACGTTTAACACGTTCGATTCTATAGAGATTATAATATGCTACTTTTTAAAAACCCCGTCAGTCGAACTCTCGTTTAACCTAACTTTTCTTTTCCCTCGCTTTTTACCGCGCCATTTTGTTTTACGAAACTAAAAATACACGGTTATAATTTGTAACGAGGGGTTACTTTGAAAGAAAAAAGAAAATAAAAAAACAGGGATGTTAAGTATGATGTAAAGTACGAAAGAACGCAGGGCGTGTGTTCTTTTATCTTCTTTTTTTTCTTTTTTTGATAAAAAAATAGTATTGAATCGCGTTTAGGTTATGTCAGGATCAGATATTAATTTTCGTACGAATTTTTCCACACTGGTGGGGAATAATTCGACACGTATTACATATCGTTTTTAATTATTATTTTTGTGCAAAACTAAAAAAAAAAAAGAATTGATTGCCGATTGCTTTTGGATTAGAGAGAAAAGAAATATTTTGTTTCGACGAACTAGTATTATCTAGTATTAAAATATGACGTCAGTTATAAGCAACACAGGTTATAATTTCTCTTTGTGATTTACCTTATATATTTATATATTAATACTCATTGAATAAATATTATCTTAACAAGTATGTGATTTTTATTCGAATGTTTTCGAATGACATGGGAGATTATTACAATGTATTATATGAATAGAATTATTTCTTTGAAGCTATCGTATATATTAATACTCGTTGAATAAATATAATCTTTTAGTCAATGTATCGTTGCGTATGTATGTAGTATAAGTGTGTGTATACGAGTTTATTCCAACGTTTCAAATGAAATGTTAGAGAATTTCTTCTCCAATCTGATGATCCTGACAACAAATTAAACATACGTTAATTGCTCATTTAATTCCCATCAAAAGATAATACCGTAATGTCATCTCTTTTGCATTTCTTCTTTTTCACATTTTCTTTTTATCTATTTATTTATTTATTTATTTGACGTTAAATATACGTCAAGAGAACGTCCTTACGATGTTAATTCTCTACGTGCGTGTATTGTATGGACATACACCCACAAACACATATATATATATATACAGAGTCATACACTACACATATACACGTTAACAGATTAATTATTTCGTTCCCCTCGACATCCGCTTATGCGACTCTGCCTTCCTGGTAAAAGGCGGACCTATTTTCTTCCCCCACACCCACCCCTACCCCAACCCCCACCTCACCGTGAACATTTTAACTTTATTCTTTAGCTTCCTTCGATGTAAAGACTTAATTAATGTCACAGTCAGTTTTAAACGTTCATCCGTTTAATTATTTTCTATACTTTGTCTGATATCTTATACAATTTTGTCTATTTCCTTAAATTAAATCTCTCTGTGGTTTATCGTTACATATTCCAATCGTTCATATTTTCATTTTTTTTTTCTTTCTATTAATAATGTTTATCAAAATTTGTTGGGAGAACGTTGAAGATTATAATATAACGGGAGGATCCGAATTGCAATGAAAAAAAGAAGACTGATCGTAATTGGAAAGTAATGACGGAACTTGGATATTACCTTGGGGGTGGAGATGGGGGTAGGGGGGGGTGAAAAGTACATCCCCCATATTTCCTAAAAGCGAGAGACGAAGATCGTTTGGTAAACTTCGTTTAGAGTCAACCCCAGTTTTATCCGGCACCCCTGTTTACGGTTGCATTCGCTACGAGTTGTTAACACGGAAATCAATTATCCAATTTTCCGGGTTGATCCATTTTTGATGGTCGAATGCAAAAATTAATCAGAAAAATCATGCAAGTTATTGTATAATTACATTTATTTGTTTATTTCTTTTTTGAATTTGTTTTTTTAAATAAATCTGTTCGCACATTATCAAAGAAACTCTTTTCCAAATCTCCAATCATGTTACGATTCATTTGCTAATTATCAAACATTCGATAGTCTGAAGTACATGAATCTAAAAAAAAAAAAATAACAGAGAAAGGGGTGAGAAAGGAAAAAAAGGGCGTAATAATAGTGGAAAAAGAATAAAAGGAGAAAAGACAAAGAAAAAAAAAGAAAAAGAAGAAAAAGAAAGAATAAAACAGTCAATTGCAGGAGGGGTACAGGAGTGATGGGGGTTGGGGGTGTACACGACGCGTAGCGTACGTACACACACGTACACAAAAACAAACCTACACACTCGGGGGTAACACGGAGAAGTAGTGGAGGGGTGACTGGCTTTCGTAGGAACTTCGCCTAGGGTGAAATACGTTCGCGAAGGTTGAACAAAACAAAGGAAGGGAGGGTAGCCAGGCATACGGGGTTAGTATGGAAGGAAAAAAAAGGAATGAGGAGGAGGGGAGAGAGAGAGGAACGAACGCACAGTGAGCCCAGTGTCCTAGTGTGCGAAAGAACCTAAAGAATGTGCCAGAAGTCCACCATCACCACCACCACCAGCACCACCCCTTTCGGTGTTTGACTGCAGTCAACGAAATCTCTTGCCGAAAGGCCGACTCTCTCTCTCTCTCTCTTTCACTCTCTCGTGAACACTCTTACGACGTCCTCCCCCTCCCCCTCCCCTCGCCCCACCCCCTTTCTTCTATTCCTCTTCCTCGTATTCCTCCTCCTCCTCCTCCTCCTTTTCCTCTTCTTTCTCATTCTCATTCTCCTTCTCACTAACTTTTTAAATAGGCTCGGGAACAGCTTTCGTTGTGTCAGGCTCGTTATACTCAATTCATAATTCAAGATTATAATTGGTCCGAAATCCGAGGTGGTTTAAAAAAAAGACCTCGCAGTCGTCTAATCCTGACGCAACTTTCCCTTCAACTGTTCTACGATTTATATTTCATTCCTATTAACTGTTGTTTATGTTTTTATTGTATATTGAAAGGGGAAATATACCGAAAAGAATTTGTTCCTTTTTATTTGTTGTTGTTTTGTTTTCTTTCAGGATTCCCCTTTAGTCTCCTTCTTATCTTGTTCTTCTAGCTTTTCGTCCTTTTAATTTTGGAAAAAGGTTCGTTTTTAATAAAAAATATATATAATAAATATAATATATAATATATAGAATAAATATTAGTATATTTATATTTATTTCCGAGGGAAAGGATGGGAGGGGGTAGTTTTTTGTTCGAACTTTCGAAAACGTTCGCTTTTAATAATAAATATAATAATATAAAATAATCAA